CCTTGAGAACGCGCTCCAATCACATACCTAGCCTATGTCCATGTTCACCATCATGAACAGAAAGCACTGAAGCGCGGATCCGTCATTAGCGCGCTTGCGGACATGAACGTTTTCTCTTCTTGAGGCTCCACGATGAGATCCACCCGGTCCAAGGGAGCGAGCACGACGGGCACTAGACAGAAAAGGGGAGTGAGCTCTTTTAAGGGTTCGGGTTGAGGTTCATCACAAGAGATGAATTGTGTGCGCTTCTACGGATGCAAGGTTGATAAGATGTGACTGCGGCTCCGAGATGGACTGGCTGTCAGGGATGCACTACAACCCCCCAATGTTTATCTGATTCTGGGGTATAGTACGAGAATCACGTCAAGATCTGGGGATTACATATCTCATCTAGATTTCACATGATAAAGTTGGATGAGGTCGAAATATCTCGATGGTGTTTTGATATAAGTCAAAGGCATCCCACCCAATCGATAGACATCAACAAGCTGATCTGCCAAATTGATCAGCAATCAGCAAACGGTAAGCAAGACATCGGGCAATTACTCAAGGGCACGGGATGAGAGATATAAGACAATAGCTTCTGTCATGAATTGTAATCCAATTACGGCGGCAATTCTACCATTCGCTCATCCTTCGCAATAGCAGTAACACCTATTTGGGCAATACCGCGTATCTTGTAAGTGAGAGTCTGTTAGCGACATGTGAATGCGCTAGGAGCTTCCCAAACGAGCCCAAATCGCGCATCTTATTTCCTACAAGCACCTAAAATTAACCGCCCTCTACTTTATTGCATGAGCACTTTGAAGTTCTTACGGTTAATATCGTTCGCTCTATATCCAATGGTGGACTATTCCGCGCCACGGTTAAAAGCCTCACCAACACACCGACACACCGCGGTGTCTCCTAACACCTCAGAAATGAGAGCGCGAGAAACCGGGTTTTCACCGACGGATGACAGCCTCCTACCCTTCAAGGTCGGGATTTTTCCATCTGCAGGCTTGGGATCCAGGGAATTATCGCATTTAATTGGCAGACTGCAATAGAATGGATATTGCAGCGTGGACTGCCTCAAGGGATCAAAATCGGAGACATAAAAAGCAAGATATTGGATACTTAGTGTTCCCATTCTCCGGATGCCGAAATACAGTACAAGTATACGTAATATGTCTATCAATCTTTCATGACAAGGCTGTTGTTCATGCGCTCTATCACTCGCCAAAATCTCCAGGGATCGAGCAGTCCACAATGAATGCCAATGTCACATTTCTTGTTGAAAGCAGACCGGACGGCCGGAAACGGAGAGACACCGAGATTTATGTTAAGTTGGCCACACAGTAGAACAAAGATAAACGATAGTGACATGTAGTGGTGGTGATGGTGTGACAGAATTATGCACATTGTTCTGATTGCATCAGACCGAATTATCACGAGCAATGGAGGAGGAAACCCGCCTCCTTCACCTTGATATTGTCGCCAGCACTCGTCATGATATTAGAAAATAGAATCGTATACAGGGGGCTGCTCGGTAAGTTAGTGGAGTTTCGCTGGTTTCATAACGGGCCGGACACGCCAAGGGCCAGAAGGCGAAAGGCAGAGGGCAAAGGTTGACAAAAATTTTAGGTGTTAGGATGAGCAATCAACCCCAATTTTTACTGCACTGCAACTTTTGTCTGAACCAAAGCTGCGGATCGGGGTTGAAGCCCGGTCCGGTCCATTGGATTGGGTTATTGGAGTCTGAATTTGGAGACGAGAAGTGATAAGTGATAATCACAAGCCAGAGCGGTAAACAAATTTTAACACGAGAAGATGTTGACAGGAAAACTGTGACTCTTGTGACCACAAGTTATCAATTCCGAAACCCATCATTTGGCCGCCCAAATCAAAGATTATCTGTGATTCAAAGCCATTCATTCGTTCAGTGGGCGTCATTCAGGGCCATGCAGCACCCGTAGCTTAGCTGAGGACGGAAGCCCATGCCGACCCGCTCCGCTAAGCTTGAAGCCTTGAAGGCACGGGCATTGAACCTGAACTTTTTAGTGGAGCATTAAACACAAGCAAGAAATGGAAGACGGGATGTCTTATCTCGAGGGGGACAGGACGGGAGCAAAAAAGAAGCCAAACACTGCCAAATAGAACTATGCCATCACCTTTTCTTACACCCTACCGATCTACTACTCCTATGTTAGTTACCTTGTGCCCGGCCAGCCGATGAGGGTCTCTCTTTTCACTCACTCACTGTTCGTTAGCTTTGCCTCCAGTTACGTACCGCACCTAAGGTCCAGTCTTGTACACTAAATTCTCTCGCCCTCTTTCGTGGGTTGTGACTGATTCTCCTTCGACTCACCTCCATCCGTCACCAGCCCCATCCGCTCGCGACGCCCTCATCTGGTCCAGAGACTCTCAGTCTGTGTCCTCTATTCTTTCTTTCCTCTTATTTCCCCTCTTTCTCCCTTCAATCGCTCTCAATTGAGCTCCTCTCTACCAGATCCTCCCAATGGCTTCCTCCGCGCGAGCCATGACGGCCCTCTCCCGGGTCGGCCAGATGGCCCCCAGCAGTCGCATTGCGACTCGCGCTCTTTCTACTGCCTCCAAGACCTCTGCTCGACCTTCTATCGCCATGAAGCTCAACAACTCTGGCCGCATTGCCTTCCGAAGAGCCTATGCTGACGAGGCCCCCAAGCCCAAGCCCAGGCCTGGCAAGATTCGACGAACCCTCCGATGGACATGGAGATTCACGTACCTCTCTCTCGGTGCTCTCGTCGGTTACACATGCTACGTTATCTACGATGACCGCCACCCTCAAGAGCAGTACCAACCTGACCCTTCCAAGAAGACTCTTGTCGTTTTGGGTGAGTAATTCGGCGCGCATAGCTATAGGCGCTCCTGCCATATATCATGCCAAGTTACTGACGCAATACCCTTCCTTAGGATCCGGTTGGGGCTCTGTTGGTCTCCTCAAGAACCTCGATACCGAGAACTACAATGTCATCGTCGTCTCTCCTCGCAACTACTTCCTCTTCACTCCCCTCCTGCCTTCATGCACAACAGGTCTTATTGAGCACCGCTCCATCATGGAGCCTGTTCGCACTATCCTCCGCCACAAGAAGGGTGCCGTCAAGTACTACGAAGCTGAGGCTTCCTCTGTTGACCCTGATCGCAAGGTTGTCAAGATCAAGGACAACACCGAGGGCAAGGGCCCTCACTCAGAGACCGAGATCCCCTACGACATGCTCGTCATTGGTGTCGGTGCTGAGAATGCTACTTTCGGTATTCCCGGTGTCCGCGAGAACAGCTGCTTCCTCAAGGAGATTGGCGATGCCCAGCTGATCCGCAAGAAGATTATGGACTGCGTTGAGCGCGCTTCTTTCAAGGGTCAATCCCAGGAAGAGATCGACCGCCTCATGCACATGGTCGTTGTTGGTGGCGGTCCCACTGGTGTTGAGTTCGCTGGAGAGCTCCGTGATTTCTTCGAGGACGACATCAAGAAGCTGATCCCCGAGATCAGCCAACGCTTCAAGGTCACTCTTATTGAGGCCCTTCCCAACGTTCTCCCTTCTTTCTCCAAGCAGCTCATTGAGTACACTGAGAACACCCTGCGCGAGGAGAACATTGACATCAAGCTCAAGACCATGGTTAAGAGGGTGACAGAGGACTTTGTCGAGGCTGAGTGCGCTGGTCCCGATGGCACTAAGCAAACTCTCCGTATCCCTTACGGTCTGCTTGTCTGGGCTACCGGAAACGCTGTTCGCCCTATTGTCCGTGACCTCATGGGCAAGGTTCCCGCCCAGAAGGATTCTCGTCGTGGTCTTGCTGTCAACGAGTACCTCGTTGTCCAGGGCACCCGCGATATCTGGGCCGTCGGTGACTGCGCCGTTGCTGGCTACGCCCCTACTGCTCAGGTCGCTTCCCAGGAGGGTTCATTCCTGGCCCGTCTGTTCAACAACATGGCCAAGACTGACTCTCAGGAGGCTCGCATCAAGGAGCTCAGCAGCAGCCTGAACCTCAAGCAGGGTAACTCTGCTGAGGTTGCCGCTGAGATTGAGAGCCTTGAGAAGCAGCTTCGCCGAATCAAGGACGTCAAGCCCTTCCGATATTCCCACCAGGGTAGCTTGGCCTACATTGGTAGCGAGAAGGCTGTTGCTGATGTTCCTTGGTTCAACGGTAACATTGCCAGTGGTGGCGGCTTGACCTACCTGTTCTGGCGAAGTGCCTACCTCTCCATGTGCTTCAGCAGTAAGTTCATTACAAACTCTTATTGATATGACAGTCAAACTAACTGGAATTCTTTAGCCCGAAACCGTGTGCTGGTCGCTGTTGACTGGCTCAAGTCCAAGGCCTTCGGCCGTGACGTCTCTCGCGAGTAAACCCTCGATCCAACAAAACCTTTTATGCAACAAGGTTCGATACCCTGATATGAGCTGCGATAGCCGAGGACTTTATATTGTCCACGGACTGCATCTTACGACGATCTGTTCTTGGGAGGGTGTACTTGGAGCATTGTGCATTAACTGGGCCGGACTAATAGATGTCTGATTAGAATCGGGCTTGGGATGGGATGCTTCATTTTGTAAACCTCGAGTTGGTCTTTCTTTTCTCTTTTTTTGTTCTGTAATTTTTTTCTTTGTTCACGGATATAGATGGGAGAGGCAGGCCCCTTGTATGACATAGCTAGAGTGTGCAGAAAAGCGAAAAGCAGGGAGACTTGTGGAGGATAGGGAAAAAGAATTAACAAAACTTCATATCGTGAACAAATACGCGGGTCTTGCTTGTGCCTGCAACTGCTCCTTTCGAGTTGCTCTCTTGTGTACATACCATAGTATGATGCCAGAAAAGGGGTCCTCGTGACACCGGACAATGGTGCATAGAGCACATCGATTTCTTAATTCATGAATCTATCTTTCACGTGACAAGGGATGTATCATATGCAATTAAGAAGATGCCCTGTCTGACCTGGCCTGGCCTGGTGCTCTTTGTGTGGATATCATATCTAGCATCTCCAAATTGTCCCGGTCATAAATCGGGAGCTCCCAAGTTTGACTGCGGGGCAGAAGCTCCCCGCCTCGAGCCGATATGCGGAGCTTGTCATCTGCGTTAGCTACCTAGGTAGTACTTTACTCGGGGAACGTAACGTGGGGAAGAGAATTGTTCATTTCCTAGACCCAGGGTGGGCAACCTATTGCACGATATAACTTGACTTGTCTGTGCTCCTGGCCATGAGTAACCACTCCAAGCTTTCTGGCAGGTACCACGCCATTGAGCTGGACTCCAATGACGCTCTCAGACACACTCGTGACGAGTTCAACATCCCCTCCAAAGCTGATGTGGCTCGCAAAACTCTCCCTACCGATGACAGCACGGGTTAGTATATTTCTCTGGTATCTAGCATATCCTTCATATTGGTCTAATTCTTGCAGATGCCAATGAAAAAGCTATTTACCTTGTAGGCAACTCTCTGGGTCTTCAACCCAAGCGCACTGTAGATCGCATACAGCAATATCTCGCGACATGGCGCACACAAGGTGTACAGGGCCACTTTAAGCCCCTTGATGACTCTCCTCTACCAACATGGCTAGACGTTGACGCTCGTGCGGCCGAGATGATTGCGCCAATCGTGGGCGGCAAGGCCAGCGAGGTGGCTGTCATGCAGACTCTCACGGCCAATCTTCACTTTTTGATGGCGGCATTTTACAAGCCTGATATCAAGGGACGGCATAAAATCATACTAGAGAGTAAAGCGTTTCCAAGTGATCATGTCAGTGATTCAGCTCAGCACTAGACAAAAGAGGTGCTAACATAGATGCTTAGTATGCTGTTGAGACACAAATACGGCATCACGGACTCAGTCCTGAAGACTCCATGATTACCATTGAGCCTCCAAACAACGAGGACATTCTCTCCAACGAATATGTCGAGTCTATCATCGAGATGCACGCCTCCACTACTGCAGTACTTCTCCTTCCCGGTATCCAATACTACTCGGGTCAGCTCCTCGATATTCCACACTTGACTAGCTTTGCTCGCGAGCGTGGAATATTCGTGATCTGGGATCTCGCTCATGCTGCAGGCAATGTGCCTCTCTCATTACACGACTGGAACGTCGACGCGGCTGCTTGGTGTACATATAAGTATCTGAATGGCGGACCAGGCTGTATTGGAGGTCTGTTTGTTCATGAGCGTCACACGCAGGTTGGGGACGATGGATCGCACAACGTGAGACTTGCCGGCTGGTGGGGAAACGACAAGAAGAACCGATTCGCAATGAGACCTGGTTTCGTTCCTGTTCCCGGCGCAGCAGGGTTTCAACTTAGCAATCCCTCCGTACTCGACATAACGTCTCTCTGTGCTTCCCTCGAGACATTCCAGCTCGCCGGTGGCATGGCTCCCCTACGCGAAAAGAGCACGAGACTAACAGCCTATCTCGTCTCCGAACTGCAAAAGCTGCCGCAGGACATGAGCGCGTACTGGAAGATCATCACGCCAAGTGAGCAAGAACGCCGTGGGGCACAAGTGAGTATTCTTCTAGCCCATGGGTTGCTTGATGAGGTTATGGCTGGTCTAGAGAGGAGGAGTGTTCTGGTTGACGAACGCAGACCGAATGTGATTAGGGTAGCGCCAGCACCGCTGTATAATACTTTCCTAGATTGCTGGGGCTTTGTCGGTGCGTTCAGGGGCGCTTTGGAGGAGACCCTGGATGCAAAGTGGAAAAAGGAGCAGATGGATGAGTAGACTAGAAGAATAAATCACCCACCAGGTCATAGAATTGAGGCATTGCGGCCAGCTTATTTTCGCGCCATGGTAAATGATGCAACTATTTCATGTTGGCTCTACTAACACAGACACAAAACTATCTCTTGGATGTGTTTATGACTGCTCGTAATATGTTTAGAGTACGAAACTGCTTGGCCATCTTAGGACATTTATGTCGTGCATCTGTAGAGTGGCAATGCTGGCATTACGCAAATTAAAGTAAACGACCCTCAGTTCTGCGTTAGACCTGAGAACTTAGTAGGGAACTACAGATAGATTAAGAATATGAGAATTTACACTGCCTACAATGAATTATCATCGTTGTATGAAGTCCTGTTTAGGAGAATAAAAATTTATGGAAGTATAGGGTAGAGCCCACAAGGTTCCTGACTAAGGTGGCGGTCTTTCAAGGGTCCTTTTTAGTGGAGCAACAGAACCCAATCACACCGCCGCCTCAAAAAGTGATGTGGATCCACCAGGCGGACTTGCCTAGCGGCGAAAGCAAAAAAAAAAATTACATGGTCAGCGCGTCCGGGTCGGTTCTCTTAAAACTTCACACATCCTCCATTCATCTCTCCCTTTCCCATTCATCATCTCATCCTTCGGGCGCGCACTCCTTCTTCATCAAACAGAAGGCTAATCTCGTAATTACGAGATATTATACTGCGTATCCCACGTCTCTCTTTACTCTAATACTCCCCTTTCCCCCTTCCTAGACGGGTCCATTCCAAACGGCTCCGTCTTATCTTTCTGCACCTGAAATAATGTCTGGCTACGACGGCGGATACAGCGGCGGCGGCGGCCGCGGAGGAGGTGGCTACGGCGGTGGTGGTTACGGCCGTGATCGCGGCGACCGTGGTGGTGACCGAGGTGGTGACCGCAATGGCTATGGCGGTGGTGGCTACGGAGGGTGAGTCGATTTTTCTTTGTGGTTTGAGCGCAGATCTGGTGGTGTCAGCCTAGAGGCGCGGTCGTTCCCCTAACGACAACGCGTCCAACCAACAACTTCTGCGTTTCCAACTCAATACTTTATCGCATTTCGCTAACACAGAACACAGCCGAGGTAACGCAAATGGCTACAGCGGCGGCGGCGGCGGTTTTGGAGGAGGCGGTTTCGGAGGCGGCTATGGAGGAGGTGCCGGCGGTGACCGTATGGGTGCCCTCGGTGCTGGCCTCAAGAACCAGGAGTGGGGTACGTGTTTCGCTCACCAACTTGTTGTTTTTGCCTACTAACGTTCGTCCAGATATCAACACCATGCCCAAGTTCGAGAAGTCTTTCTATAAGGAGCACCCCGATGTCACAAACCGATCTGACGCTGATGTGGAAGCCTTCCGCTGCAAGCACCAGATGACCATCGCTGGCAAGGATGTTCCCAGGCCCGTCGAGACCTTCGACGAGGCTGGTTTCCCCCGATATGTCATGGATGAGGTTAAGGCCCAGGGCTTTCCTGCCCCTACTGCCATCCAGTCTCAGGGTTGGCCTATGGCCCTCTCCGGTCGTGATGTCGTTGGTATTGCCGAGACAGGTTCCGGAAAGACTCTTACGTATTGTCTCCCCTCCATTGTCCACATTAACGCTCAACCCCTCCTTGCTCCCGGAGACGGCCCTATTGTTCTCGTCCTCGCTCCTACTCGTGAACTTGCTGTTCAGATCCAGGAAGAGATGAAGAAGTTCGGCCGATCTTCTCGCATCCGAAACACCTGTGTTTACGGTGGTGTCCCTAAGGGTCCTCAGATTCGCGATCTCTCTCGAGGAGTTGAGGTCTGCATTGCCACCCCTGGCCGTTTGATTGACATGCTCGAGGCTGGTAAGACGAACTTGCGCCGTGTCACTTACCTCGTTCTCGACGAGGCTGATCGCATGTTGGACATGGGTTTCGAGCCCCAGATCCGCAAGATTATTGGCCAGATTCGACCTGACCGACAGACTCTGATGTGGTCCGCTACATGGCCCAAGGAGGTCCGCGCTCTGGCTTCCGACTTCCTTCAGGACTTCATCCAGGTCAACATTGGTTCCATGGAGCTTGCTGCCAACCACCGTATCACACAAATTGTCGAGGTCGTCACAGACATGGAGAAGCGCGACCGCATGATCAAGCACCTTGAGAAGGTTATGGAGAACAAGGAGAACAAGATCCTCATTTTCGTCGGCACAAAGCGAATTGCTGACGAGATCACTCGATTCCTCCGCCAGGACGGATGGCCTGCCCTTTGTACGTATCATCCATCATCCCACAACAATATTACAAAACAGCCACTAACATCTGTCAGCCATTCACGGTGACAAGCAGCAGAACGAGCGTGATTGGGTGCTTGACCAGTTCAAGACCGGAAAGTCCCCCATCATGGTGGCTACTGACGTGGCCTCGCGTGGTATTGGTATGTATCATTATCCCCCCTCCCTCATGGCAACTTCCAGCGACAGCACTTGCTGTACTTTACTCTCGTGTTTAGGGGCTTTCTTGACTGTGCGAATCTGCCTGATAATTATCGTGTCCAATTGGTTCTCAACCAACGGGGTCTTGATCCGTTGTGTAGCCTTCACTTTGCTATACTCACGTGTGTTCACTCTTGTACCGTTCTCACTCCCGTGGTACGAGTGTGGAGTTGGCATATTGTTGCCTTTGATCAAGCTGCTGGCCAAGGTTCTCTTGTTTCCAGGACCCAGTGACCCGCATACTCCAGGATGGCATTTTGACGCACTTTCTATTGCCCCATCTCCGCTAGGAGTGAAGTACAGATGGCTTGCCAATATGCTTAGCCATTCACCTTCATCTTCCGTGCTGGAACGTTGCTATACAAACCCCTGTTTCGCCTGCTAACCATTCTTGCTAAAGATGTGCGCAACATCACTCATGTGTTGAACTACGACTACCCTAACAACTCGGAGGACTACATTCACAGAATTGGTCGTACCGGTCGTGCCGGTGCCAAGGGTACCGCCATCACCCTCTTCACTACTGATAGTAAGTATCCTTGAGCTGTATCGTCTTAGTACACACTAACAATTTTGTCAGACCAGAAGCAGGCCCGTGATCTTGTCAATGTTCTCCAGGAGGCCAAGCAGCAGATTGACCCTCGCCTTGCTGAGATGACTCGATATGGCGGCGGCGGTGGTGGTCGCGGCTACGGTGGATGGGGACGTGGCCGCGGCGGTGGTAGAGGTGGGTATCGCCGACGCTGAAGCAGCTAGATACCTATCGAGCTGACTCGACCTCCAGCCAACGCCAACAACATGCCCATTGGTAACCGTAACCGTCGGTGGTAAGAGGTTTATTCATATTGGGTTACTACCCTCTCGTGATACGGATCAGGCAGCCTCACATTTCGGATCCTCGGATTCTCAAAAGTACATGACACCCAAGGCGTTTGTTTGTTAGAGATAGGTCGTTCGATTAGACTTGACTCGTTACATGCGAGTCTGGATTTCTGGTTTGATTGCGGACCGGTTTGGTCACGCACTTAAGTGGCATTTTTATGTTTTCTGTTTCACGTTGTTCGAAATAATGGCTTTAGATTGGGATGATGATATCGTGTCGAGCGGTATGGAAAACGCTCGCCGGCGGAAATTAGGGGAAAATATCCTACCTTCATTGGAGGCCTCGTTTTCTGGAGGCCGATGACAATATTGTCAAGAGTCGAGCTGTATGTTCAATAGACAATTGTAGTCAACTGAAGTAGCATAACTCACTCTACGTTGATGGTGTGTTTGAACGTACGTTATGTTGTAGCTAATTGCCCGTCCATAGGAACATATCGGCCACATGGAAGTACTGTAGAGGAACATCCGCAGGTTACTGTATCACATACAGTTCCACATAAACCACTCCTTCTTAATATATTGTCTGGTTGCCTTTGATGGTATCAAGTTGCTTCCACCTAACCGCCATGTCCTTGTCGTCCTCCTTTGTTTCTACGCATGAGTTGGTTTCCATGTCAGCTCGTGCTCCCACCAACGCGATGATTCCAGTGGCCAGAACGAGGCACAAGGATTCGTTAAAACTCATTAGATTTTCAGTCTCAAAAGATCATTCTCGATGCTTTTTGAACTCTGCGTCTTGTTGTCTGGGCGTATTGAGGATAATTGCCTCGTTCTTTGGGGGCGTGATTATCCTCTTGCGGGTCTTTGTACACCGGCAGCTTTCCTTGGTGCCTCTGAACGCTGACAATCTTGACAGAGAGTGGGACAGTGAGTTCTTTGTCGAGTTGACCATCACTTTAGCCTATGTGTCCATGTTCATCTGTGCAGACTCAGCTTATCGCCAGTGTCCTCCCTTGACCACTTCGTATCATTCAAGTATACGATGATGGCCTATTCAGAGCTGCGCAATGGCCCGTGAATATTTCCATTTCTCTAGCAATTTGGGCTCGGTCAGCCAAACTTTCTCCTTGATGGGTTGACTCAATCATTGCCATCCTGGGATATTATCCGACTTCACTCTGGCTCTGGTCCATCGCCCCTTTACAGATATACCTGCTCCCCAACGTACGCGTAATGGTGACATCTTGACTACTGGTATCAGGGAATTCAACCAACTTCGTCGCCCTCAATCTCACGTACAAGGAATTGAGTTCTCCGGGGGTGCAAAAGGGTCGCAAACAAGACTCGTGGACACTCCCCGTTGTGGGCTGTTGGACCAGTCAACCAGCACCCAAGCCTCTGAAATAGTTCTCTCCAAGTCCTACACCATTGACCTGTTACTGTGCGAGCCTATCTCTAGGCGGCTATTCTGGACGGTTTGGACCATCAGTTTGTGAGGCGCCTTCTGTTTGGACTTGATAATGGCTGTGCCTTGGTATAGTTGCGTAGTGACATGAAAACTCCTGTCGTGTTGTAGCACTGGATGATCCTGCCATAAGGTCTCTGTGACACAGCATTAATCGCTGTATCATTCTAGCCTGGTAAGACCGTCGTTGATAGTGTGTTCGGTAAGCAGGGCTCTTTTGCGGATGATGCAGTAAGGAGAGCCTTCGGTGTATACCTACGAGGTTGATCACTTTCTTGCTCCTCTTTGAATTACATCCTTGTCTCCGCTCTTCTCTGTGTTTGTTTGCTGTGGGCTTATGGCTTGAATTAATGCCTGGTTGTCCCTGTTTCCTAAGTTCTTGACGAGTTGCATCGGTCAAGCCATTCAAGCCCAGGCATCGCGTTCCGGTGAGCCGGATTTGATTGATTTCTATTTCATGCTGCTGTCATACTTGATATGCTCCTGGGTCTGGGTAAGTCATCGAATTGGTCGCTTCCGGCGAAGACTTATCACCAGGGCATCCGTCCGCATGAGATTTAACCAGCGCCACAGTGAATATCATGAACAGCAACCTGGCGGCGTATGTGC